AACTTCTGGGCTGTGATGAAATGAATTATCATCTCAAATAATTTTCAGTGCTCATTAGAAAGGTCTTGGTAGCCTTTGAGAAAGGTAGAATAATTTTTTGCAAATTTATTCCTAAATGTAAGCCTACTGCCAGGTTGCCCACTATCTTTAAAGAGTTACAATGGAAAGTTATTATAATCAGAATTCTACTTATTCAATAAGATCATCTTTCTTCTTCAGCTGAAGTGACCTAACACAATTCCAAAAATCAATGCTAGAGAGTCAAGCTGCTTAGTAACACTGAGAAATATAAACTATTCTTTCAAACGTACCAAAAATTTACCATAAAGACAACTTGAAAAATAATGATTAGCAAGGACAAAATTTACAAAACCATTGTCCCCAAAGAGAAATAGAAATGTCTGCATTCAGAAGTAAAACATTTTGGTAAACTGTTATGTAGTACTGCGAGGGGAAATGCTATGCACAAAAGCCTTTGGAATGAGTAGTGATTTCCTCGTATACTAAGTAGCCAATATTTTGTATTTATTGTCATGTTTACAGTCATGAAGATTTGAATGTATTATATGTTAATACAATACATTGCAAACTTATATATTGCAAATTTGTTGTTGTCAACATTTATTTCACCCAAAACCCCTGAAGAACAGGACATTTTCCCGTCAGTAGTAGAGTTATATCCCAAGACAAATTCTAAAGATGAGGCAACATTGCAGACTCTCCAGAGAGCATGGAGAGGTTTGAAAATTCCCCTAAGTGATTTTTGTAATCCTCCTCAAAAACCTCCCCATTCCAGTTCAAGAAGCACTGTTTAAATATTCTAGCTTAAACTCTTCAGTTAATATCTCATTTGGTAACTGGGGACCAGGGCTCATGCCTGTAATCCCAGCTACTTGGAAAGCTGAGATGGGAGGATCACTTGAGCCCAGGAGTTCAAGAGAAGCCTGAGCAACATAGAGATACCCCATCTCTATGCAACAGATTAAATATACTTGTCTAATTATCCTTCTAACAGCATAATCCAGAAAATAATCTGTCCCGTTTGCATATGTGTCCATCATTAATTAATCTTTGTAATAGGTAATATTATTGAGCTATTAGTATGTGCCAGGCATGGTGGTGCTAAGGGATTTTCACACATCATCTCATTTGTACCTTTGACATAAGTATAATTTATCCTGTGATTTTTAAAGATAAGGGGCATAAGATTTAGTGATATTAAGCTCATGGTCATACATTCACAAAATGAAGAGCAAAAAGTCTAATCCCAGAATCTAATCCAAAGTCTCTGATGGCAACACTTTTCTCTAATTCTTCATGCGCTTGCCCATGGTACGAGCATTTCAGAAATGAGGTGCCGAGATAAAGTCTGTATCCACCCAGAAAAAAGTGAGCATCATCATATATGTGTGAAAATTAAATTCATTCATTCATTTCACAAAAATACGTTGAATACTTACACATTTCTGAATCACAGGCACTCTTTTAGGCCTTGGGAACACAGCAATGAACAAATATGACAAACATCCCTCCTGCATGGAGCTTTCTTTTTAAGGGGAAATACGGAATAAAAAGCAAATGCCTTTATTATATCACATTGTGACCTGTCAGACTGTGGAGAAAAATCAAGCGAATGAGGGAAATAGTGAAATGCTGAAATGAGAGGTGTCTAATTTTAAATAGGACAGTCAGTGATATTAAATAAAGAGCCCATTTTCAGAGTACGTTGTTGTATTGACTCTATATTCCGGCACTAGTGAATGTCATTTATAGATCAATACCTGAAACTTATACACCAAGGCCTGAGTTTTTCCCATTGATGCTATGTTAAGATACCAGACTGGCCTACGTAAGTCATTTTGTTTCTATGTACAGAAAATATAGCATTAGCGATAATATTCAATTATATTATTCTAAAAGAAAATGCATTCTATATTCTAATTCAAAACTACAACATTCCAGTGGTTGATTAAGGACCTTTTGGTGGGTCAGTAATTAAGAGAAGTTTGTGATAGCTGTTCCTTTATCCAAATAGGTCTTAGCTTTCTCCATTTTTGTAAGAGAAAGTATGGCAATCTCTATGCAGTCTTTTTTCACCTGGGGAATAAAAAATAGTTACCTTTATAGGGACAAATTGGACAAGAGACTCTTCTGCCTGATTCAAATCTCACTTTACCATTTGTACGTGGCGTATGAGTTTCTTCATTGGTAAAATAAAGATGATAGTGTCTTCTTTGCAGTGTTTTTGTGGAGTTTAAATGAGCCAATATGTGTGAAATACTTAGAACAGAACCTGGTGCATAGTAAATAATGGGTGTTTTCAATTATTGGTTTCAAAAATAGCTTTCACTTTTCTCAAATTTGCTGTGTTCCCAGCACTGACATAAGCACTTATCACATTTACCCACACAGCAACTCTGTGAGACACATGAAAATTTCTGTCACCATTTTACTGAAGAAAAAACTGAAACTTACAAATAGTAATGGGCCCAACGCCTACCAACTGGTGAGTGCTGGAGCCAGGAGAGCCAGAAGGACTGCCATTAAAAAGCAGTCTTTTATATTGGTAAATTAAGTCGGATACAAAATCCAAGGGACTGGCTTGCTTTGGGCCTGGAGGGCCAACTACCATCAATTTGTACATGCGTATTCTCCGAGAAGTTCCTGCATGGGTTTCTACTCTACTTTTTGATTTAACCATGCACAACAGTACGTATCTTCTGGAAAAGAGCTCTCAAGATTATTAAAAGTATAATGTTACCATGATCATTTTAGGTGTTGGTAGAGAGAGAATGCAAATGATGATTCTGTCATAAAAGAAATAAAATTCTAAATCAAAACTTTGGTTCACAAGCTAAGAGCCAGCATAATATGGTTTATATTTCTCATGGGCTATGTTGATAATAGATGAAGAATTTGAAAAATAATTATCCATAAATATGAACAGTAGTTTGAAACAGATTATATGCATTTGTCTGTTGTATTAAAAGTGTTCAACTACTCCACTCACTGGCAAACTGAGATCATGGGGCAAAAGCACTTCTACTGCTTGTTTTCCTAATTAAATGTTTAGTAGATCTTAAAAGGCATGCCTGTTCGCTTACTTATTGACCATGGCTGCTTTATCACGACATTGGCAGAGTTGAATAGTGTGACAGAGATTGTATGGCCCACAAGGCTAAAATATTTACTATCTAGCCCTTTACAGTAAAAGCTTGCTGACTCCTGAACCATTCCTACTTAAGAATTTATTTGTGAAAATAATTATACACTTAGTACATGTACTGGTATATGATAATTGCTCAATAAGTAAATTATAAATACACATTAAATAAATATGTTTGCATTCCACAAAATTGCCAAATGCAGGAAAGGTCAAGTTTATCATAGGCAGCCTGAACTAGCAGCTAGTGCATCTCCTGCTTTCATTTTAACTGTGTATCTCCTAAAGAAAATGCTTTCTGTGTTATGTTGGAACCTGCTTATTTCAATAGACCCTAAAGATACCAATTTATAATCTATAGATCCAGAGTGGCATCATGAGAGATAGACTTCAACAATTTCATGAGTAAAGGAGGAGCCACAAAAGATTGAATGTGACAGCTGATAGATAGGACAGAGCTAGAAAAGCTGTTAAAGTGAGCTTTGTATCTTTTGGAGGCAAATCCCATTTTAGGCTGGTACATATTAACATAATGTCGATCAATATTCAGTAATAGGAAGTGAGTGAACTTAGCATAAATCAAACTGAGTTAGCATTCCCTTAGCTCTTTATTTTTCCTAAGTTCTTCCTAGCAATATAGCCAATAATTCTTTATTTCTACAGAATAACTGTTTCCTGAAAACATTTTCTTCACTGTAATTGCATTCTGATCTATCAATCATGTCCTTTTCTGAGAAGGAATCTTTACACATTGATTCTAATTTTTAAATGCAAGTGTTTTTGATGCCAAACTTGTTTTAGAAGTTAGAGACAAAAATATGCAATACATATCCTGCCTCTTAACCAGGAAAGAAACCAGACACGATATCATACTGACATTCGTGATTAGGAATGGAAATGTAAAATGGCAACATAGAACTCCACAGAGGCAGAAGGACTTAGACCGCATTAATGAACTGGTTTTTTTCATTCATTTTCTGAATTTTTTGTTTTTTTTTTTTGAGACGGAGTTTCGCTCTTGTTACCCAGGCTAGAGTGCAATGGCACGATCTCAGCTCACCGCAACCTCCGCCCCCTGGGTTCAGGCAATTCTCCTGCCTCAGCCTCCTGAGTAGCTGGGATTACAGGCACGTGCCACCATGCCCTGCTAATTTTTTGTATTTTTAGTAGAGACGGGGTTTCACCATGTTGACCAGGATGGTCTCGATCTCTTGACCTCGTGATCCACCCTCCTTGGCCTCCCAAAGTGCTGGGATTACAGGCGTGAGCCACCGGGTCCTGCCATTTTCTGAATGTTTATTGCACCTCCTAAGTGCTAGAGCCTCATGTTGCCCCTTGCAGGTAGAGGAGTGGCAACCCTCAAGGAGGCATTATTCTAGGGAAGAATGAGAGACAATGTATAAGTAAGCCAACGAAGGAATAGGATCCTTTCAGATTGTGACTATCAGCACAAACAAATAAACAGGGAGACATGAGGGAAAGTAACTTGAAGAAGGATTAGTATCTACCTCTCTCCAGAACTATTAACACCTAGGAATCTGTTTCTCTTCATTTATATAATATAAAGAATAGAATGCCTGCCTCATAAATACTATAAAAATTGAACAATTCAATAAGGTCCCTGATTCTATGTTTAAAATATAAAGTGTTCAGTAAGATACTATTATTATTATTACATTATTGTCAAAGTCTTTATCTGTCATTTGGTTAAATCCTACACATTTCTCCAGTGATGGTAAATCGTACCCCCTTAAATTATGGAAAATTAGCTGTCTTTTATTGAGAACCATACCCTATGCTGGTGCATTACCTAAACTACCTCATTTATTCTTCATACCTCTTTGTACTTCACAGACATATATTCTGAGGCTTACAAGGTGAAATGTCTTGTCCAATGCCACACAGATAGCAAGTAGCAGAACTAGATTTAAAGTCCAGCTAGGTCTACTTCCATAGCGTGTTCCCTTCATCACTATGCTAATACTACAAAATCAATCCTGACTGTATCATCCAAAAGAGACTGTGATGCAATAATAATCTCTGTTGAATGCTTAGAACTCATAGCCAAGGCCAGCATGGTTTGTAGGCTCAAATTATGTTTCTAGTCAAGCAGTGAAGAAGCAGGTAAGTACAAAGAAACTCCATTCAGTCTGTTAGTTTAACACAGTGATAAAGCTGGCACCTCTTACCAAGGATGCAGATTTCAAGATAAGATAAAGAGTATAGTAGCCCCTTATATTAGAAAGGTATAGTACATGTTATAATGTGTTTTCATGTTCTCCTTATAATGAATGCTCATGCATATATTTTCACACATTAAATGCAGATATCAAGGCTAAAAAATCTTTTAGTGGCAATGGTTTGTAAAACTGAGATTTAAAACCAAGGCTTCTGATTTTGAGTGTCATATTTAGTTCATCAGAAAGCTAAAATTAGTGGAAACGGTTGAATGTATGGTTTGCTGAAGGAAAGATAATGCGCCTACCTTTTGGCTAACTCTGTGAGTTCTTTTAGGTTAGCTAGAAAATTAGCTCTGTAACTCCAGGCCTGAGCATAGTACATGCTGTCTCCCTTGGGAGAGACACAGGTGGAGAAGGAGTCTGATGCCTCCCAGGTGCTCCCAGCTCTATGATGAGGGACTTTGTCCAAGATTTTTAGAAGCAAGACAGCTAAATGCCCTCTTAGAAATCTGGCAGCTCTGAGAATTTTACTTCTATTTAAGAATCACCATCATCTCTCTCCTTCTCCATCATTTGCATTCTACATTTTAAAATATCCTCTTTGATTTCCCATCCCCTACTGGGTAAGCAGCTGAGGAATCACTTATCTGTGTCTCTGTTTACAATGTCACCTTTACCAGGCTGTGTAGCCCAGAGAAGCACGAGGGAGAGAAGAGGCTGTGAAATATCTCCCTTGGGAAAAATCAGTGTCTTCAGAGAAGTGTTAGAGCTAGCAGCTAGGAGCCAGCCAAGGTGCCCAATTAGAATTCCTAAAAACAAGTTCCAAATGAAAAAATAACCAGGAAAAGTAAACATACCCTAGAGAGCAAAGTTAAGAACATTAAAGCAAGCTATATTAGGGTAGACTTTTCCATAGGCTTAGCTATTTACCAGTAATTTACCTAGAAGAGAAAATATTTAGAAAAGGATAAATAGCAAACTCAGCCCATGGCAGATCAACTGTAGCATTTTTCTAGCATGGCTCACAAAAGAATTCAAAATGACATTTTGTTTTCTAAATTTAGATGTTATTGTAATTTGAATCCAAATTCTGCCAGTTGAGTTTTTCTTTCTCAGCATGTTTCTAAATACTCACCTCCTGCAAACAAGAAAACATCCAAACAACAGGAGAAAAACCAACCTCTCATCATTCATGATTACCAGACTCCATAATCAATACGGAAACATAAGCACTACAACAGTTGCTGGCATTGTAGAAAGCGTTACATCTAATCCTCAAGTCTAGATTCAAATCTTACCTAGCACACAGCTGTTTTCCATTCTTAGAAGAACCCTGAGATAAGAAACATTTAAAAATATGTTCCATAAGAACTTAGTATCACAGTGTGAACAGGAATATCTTTGTTAGGTGTGATAGGCATAATAAACCCTCCTATAGAAATAAGAGTTAGTTTTTCATTCTCCCTGCTCCCCTCCCACATACAACCTCCCTCAGCTCCAACTTAAGACCAAGTTTTGCTTTTAGGTTTTTCAAATTTCAGGAAAAATATTCCTTCCCAAAATTCAAGGCATTACGGTAAAGAGAAAAAGATGATGTTGGAGTCCAATATATCATTTTTATACCAATACAGCAAAAGTGTGGCTTTTGATCACCAACATATACATTTTCTGACATCTGTCAAATGTAGATAAAAAGTAGGGCTGCTATGAACAATATATCAAGTGCCTTGCCTGGTGCATGCTATGTATTTCACATATTTAAATTATCTTTCTTCCTTTGATCTGCTAATTCCTACTACTTAGATTAGAATACCTGCAATTTTCATCTCATTTTTTCCATTCTAGATTAAAATGTGTTCTGAAAATACTGCATAGTTCCCATCCCACATAGACTGTCGTTGATTCTCAGAAAGCAAGGCTCACCATCACTTGGAGCCTCTCTTACACTGAGAAATGTTGGTGCAACTTAGCATTGAACCTCATTTCCACTAACCAGGACAGCTCAAAATCCCATCACTTTCCCACTCTTCATGTATGTGTGCCTCTTAACTTTCTTCTCAAAAGAAAGTACAAGGCTTTGAGGGTTCATCTCACATCAGAGTGAAAAGCAGAGTTCTGTTCATTTTCCATAAGAAGTACCTTCATATTTGCATTTGATGATGCTAAGTTATTTTCCTAGAGAACCGAAGGTGTCACAGAGGAAGGGTCATGTCATATTCTACATAGCTTTAAGCCATCCTATCACACCTATTGTAATCTGCGCTCTGATAACAGTGTCAACTCATGCCCCTGCTGGTGCATGCAGCCCCCCGAGATATAAAGTATAGTTTACTGACCCCTCAAATGTCTTGCTCAAAAAAGAAGTCTTCGTATACTTCTCAGCGCACTCTAGAATTGTGAAGAAAATACTTTGTTTCCCCATTTCACTGATGTACCACACTTACAAATTTATACTTTAAAAATCCTGGCTGGGTACAGTGACTCGCACCTGTAATCCCAGCACTTTGGGAGACCAAGATGGGAGGATTGCTTGAGCCTAGGAGTTCAAGTTTATGGTGAGCTATGATTACACCACTGTACTGCAGCCTGGGTGACAGTGATAACTTGTCTGTGAAAAATAAATAAATAAATAAAAATCCTATGTCACTGTTTTCTTTTCTTTCAGTCCTTATTCTCTTTCCTTATCAGATACAACCAAACTTTCTCTATTGTGAATCCCTGCTGATATTTTCTTGAGCATTTTTAATCAGAAGAGAGCCCAGAAAATACTCTATAATGCTTGCCAGAAAGGCTATTCTGAATGAAACGTTTAGGTACAGTACTTGGCAAGTGAAGTCAAGAACCTATGCATTAGCATCCCTGGGTGGCTTCTTGGCAAGAAATCTATAAGCAATACGCAACACAGAATATATCAGTCCACAGTCTCTCTGCCATGAATCACCACTCAGTTGTCATTCACTTTCTTTATAATTAACGGACGAGTTGATGTCAAGCCCTCGTTTAGGCCCCATCATTCAACTTTTAAGCCCCATCAATGATCTCACTCCATGATATGAAGCATCCCACATTGATTATAACTGTCTCTTGAAGATCAATATCAGCCAGGCACAGTGGCTCATGCCCGTAATCCCAGCACTTGTTGGAGGCCAAGGGAGCGTGGGTCACTTGAGGTCAGGAGTTCAAAACCAGCCTGGACAGCATGGTGAAAACCCACCTCTACTAAAATACAAAAATTAGCCAGGTGTGGTGGTGCACGGATATAATCCCAACTACTAGGGGAGCTGAGGCAGGAAATCGCCCTGGAGGTGGAGTTGCAGTGAGCCAAGATCATGCTACTGCACTCCAGCCTAGGCAAAAGAGAGAAACTCCATCTCAAAGAAAAAAAACTGAATGTCCAGAGATAAATCAAAACAGCAGAATAATCTGCAAGAAGAAATTCCCAGAGCTTTCAATTAGTGTGGAAGCTTGGCTAAATTCAGATTTGTTTAATTATTGTGTCAAGTTCATCATCAGTTGGCACAATTATTTTAACAAAATTTAAAGAGTCATTGATCACTTTGCTGAGGGCTGTCTGAGAGTAAAATATTCCCAGTTATAGGACACTTTGTTAATATGCAGAAATATTGGAGAACATGGACAGAGTCCAAGCACAGAATGTATTGTTACCCTCTGAAGAATGGCATTAGAATGATAAAGACTAAATGTTTTATATTCATTAACAAGAAAATATTTCCAGAAAGAAGTATATTTCTGAAAATGAGAGTATTCTAGCCAGAAGAAATACAAGAACGAGTATTTTTGCTAATTTAACAAATTCTAAACCTATGCATAACTCCATAATAATATTTTAATATTTGTGAAAAATAAGTATTTACTCAATAATAATTTAGCTGTGCATTGAGTACTTATGTGCCAGGCATACGTACAAAAGATGTCTCCCAACGTTTTGTAGAGTAGAGATGAAGTGAAGGTCTGTTGTTGATTTACTTTGTGAGTGAAGCCAAACAGGGGTTTTGGCATTATGCAAGGTGAGATCCAAAATTGAAAGAGTCTATTCACAAATTAAAGTTATGTTTGTAATACCCTTGAAGATCACTCATTATAAAAGAGATAAATAGTCTTCGAATACAAGTTTAATGATAAGGGTGTCACCGTCTGGCATATGGCTTTGGTTTTTAGGACTAACAGAGCTTTTTCACAACTTAAGATTGCCCTGGAATTTAGATTAGGTTCAGACAAAAGTCATATTACCTGCCCAGTGTCTTCAGAGGCAGAAAAGGACTGTGAAACCACCACGCTGAATGCAAATTTCAACTCTTTCTTCTATACCTACTACATATTGTCATTCAATAACACACAGAAGAACAAAGCCATATCCTTTATCTCCAAAGCAAGAGTATCCAGATACTAGCAAGATACACGAGCACACACAGAATTTTTTCTGAATCATATATAGAATCAAAATTCAGAATTTTTTTCTGAATCAGTACAAAAATTTTGACTAAAACTCCTAGGGAATTGAGGTATGAATCAAATCCTTATGACTTCCTAGGTAAACCTATAAGCTAATATCTGAGAATTAATCAAAACGTCCCCAGATACTATGTAACCAGAACCTAATAAATGGTATGCTGTTAACTGGACTGTGGCCGAAGAAATAAAAGTTTTCATTTTTAAAATGTGATTATTTTTGCATTTTCAATTTTCTTTTTTTCTCTCCCCAGGAAATAGATTAGTATGAAGGAGTTCTATCTGCCTTGTTATGAAAACTTTCTTCTTCCTAATCAGT